TTATCAGGAAACTGTGCCCGTAATCAAATTATTTGTGCCATTAATTTTGCAAACGCCAGGTTGTGAGATGACAATAGGCACACATGAGATCATATAGAAGATGCATCTATTAAGACCATAAAATATCTAAACGACCCAGTAGGTGGGTGAATAGATAGGTCCACAAATATCCCCTTGTATACGTTCGAAGAACGCAAGGGACTCAATCCCAACCTTTGTTGGTGATGGTCTAATAATTAACTTGCCTTGATAACAAGAAGTGCAAGAAAAATCATTATTTAAAAGAATCTTTAAATTCTTTAATGGATGCCCATTTGAGTTTTCTATAATTCGTCTCATCATAATTGATCCAGGATGTCCCAATCGATCATGCCAAAGTACAAAAGTATTGGAATCAGTAACCTTTTGGTTTACGATAGAATGTGCCTCAATTGCACTAATTCTTGTCCAATACAGGCCACAAGATATAGATGGGAACTTCTCAATAAATCTTTTCTGACCAGAGACATTCTTGGTAATGATGAGAAATTCGAGATTATTCTCATCTATTGTCTCAATATGAAATCCATTTCGACGAATATCTTTAAAACTCAACAAGTTCCTCTTGGACTTGGAGGAGAACATTACATTCTCTATGATAAGTATTGTTCCATTAGGCAGAGTTATAGTAACTCTTCCAGAGCCTTCAATTAGATTACTACTACCAGAAATTGTAGTAACATGTGTCTTACACATACTTAAATGAGAGAAATGGTTCTTCTCTTTGAATATTGTATGTGTCGTACATGAATCAATTAAGCAAATATTTTTACAATTGAACTTTGATCCAAGTTTGTTTTGAGAGATATCCATATTTGCTTCACATGGTTTGACATACAAAAATAAGTATATGAATAAATATTACTCCCTCCGTTCCAGTTTATGTGAACCTATTTCCTTTTTGGTCCGTTCCAAAAAGAATGACCCCTTTCTAAATTTAGAAACAATTTTACTTAAACTTACAATTCTACCCTTAATGAAAAACTTTTATAACCACACAAATACTCTAGGCCCTTTATTGAATTGTTTAAGACTACAAATTCCAAAAGTCTTCATTTTTTCTTAAACTCTGTGCCCAGTCAAACAGGTTCACATAAATTGGAACGGAGGGAGTAGTATTTTCAGAGAAAAAGGAAAAAAATAAATTTAAACTAATTATTCAATAATGACATTTTAATGAAATTTCGAGCAAACTCAGAAAAATACTAAGTCAAACTCTCCAACCAGTATAAATACTCTAAGGTATAGAAGTTATAAGTTGGTTGAAATAACTAAGGGATATATATTGAGAATTAAATATATGTGAAGAGAGAAATAGCTAATTATGTGAATCAATGACGCAAGCTATAATATGACGCAAGTCATTTCTATTCATTTGCTTCAAAAATTGACGTTTAAGAAAACAACAAAACAGTGTCAAATAATTTTACCAACAAGTATGTTTTAGAAAAATCATTTGCTTGAACACAAATATTATAGGCTGACAAACCTTGAACACAAATATTATAAGTGCGTACAAATCTATTATAGAATACTAGAACTATATTTAATTAAAACGAACTAACACTATTCCATAAAATATATAGTACTAATTGATACTAATGACTCATGTACAGAAGTGTGATTACATGATGTTTATTCACTAGTTACTACGAATATGCAAAAAAAAAAAAAAAAAAAAAAAAAAAAAAAAAAAAAAAAAAAAAAAAAA